GGTTTCATTCCTTAATATTAATTAGGAGAAAAGAGACGATTTTTTAATTAGCGGGCGAATTAATGGGGAAGCACTCTGCGCCGAGAAACCATTGAGTTTTTCATAGCGCCGCGACTTTCGTTGCAGTTTTCATTTTTTTATTACAGAGATTAAGGAATGAAACGGGGGTTGAAGGATGGGAAATTTAATTCTCCATCGAACAGCATTGGTTTCATTCCTTAATGTTAATTAGGAGGGGAGAGACGATTTTTGAATTAGCGGGCGAGTTGTCGGGAATCACTGCGCCGAGAAACCATTAGGTTTTTCATAGCGCCGCGACTTTCGTCGCAGCTTTTATTTTTTTATTACAGAGATTAAGGGATGAAATGGGGGTTGATGGATGGGGAATTTAATTCTCCCTCGAACAGCATTGGTTTCATTTCTTAATGTTAATTAGGAGGGGAGAGACGATTTTTTAATTAGCGGGCGAATTAATGGGGAAGCGCTCTGCGCCCAGCACCATTGAGTTTTTCATAGCGCCGCGACTTTCGTCGCAGTTTTCATTTTTTTATTACAGAGATTAAGGAATGAAAGGGGGGTCGAAGGATGGGAAATTTAATTCTCCATCGAAGAGCATTGGTTTCATTCCTTAATGTTAATTAGGAGCAGAGATACGATTTTTGAATTAGCGGCGAATTATTGGGGAGTCACTCTGTGCCGAGAAAACATTGGGTGTCTTATAGCGCCGTGACTTTCGTCGCAATATTAATTTTTTTATTGCGGAGATTAAGTGATGAAACGGGGGTTTATGGATGGGCAATTTAATTCTCCATTGAACAGTCTTTGTTTCATCCCTTAAGGCCCGGTTGGATGGATTTTTGCCCGACATGTCCCTAGAAAATTCCCCAGAAACTTGTAAAAAAAAACCATTTTCCGTTTCCACTAATTACAACCGTATGGTTACATAAAAAAATCTGATTTTTTTTTGAAAAAACAGATAATTTATTGCCTCTTAACGGAAATGGTGCCTTGAACGGGGGAAATAGATNCCCTATAATCCTGATAGTAAATTTGCTCTTTGCCTGTATGTAAAACCGTGCTTCTAATAAAGAAGTCTGACCACAAGGAACAGAAGAAGAAGAATTTATATTTGCTGTTGGAGACATAAAACAGAATCCCCGAATGATTCACTCTTAAAAATTTTGAATGAGCTAAAAACAAAGAGTTGACCGGGACAAACATGGCCCATCAGCAGAATGAATGCGACGTATCAAAAGTTATTCCCCAAGTAAACACAGATAATGAAAGACAAGTACGTGATTATCTCATTTTCACAAGAACAGAGTGATTACTGAAACAATGTTGATCCCTAACGCATTCCATATTTCGAGTTTTAGAATGAAGAATATCAACGGAAAATAAAACGAGTTCTGCACTTTTCTGATGGAGATCTCGTAGAATACGATACCAACGAAGTCCATGGCTTTAAGGAGGGGGTTCAGACCGAATTAGTGGATCCAGTGAGTAACAAATCCCTTTCCGTTAATGCAATTATTTGATGAATAGTCGGGTAGTGATTCCTGTGGGCATAACAATGAATTTGTGAAGTACTGCGCGAACTAGTTTTGAACGGGCGATTTTAGAAAAATTTATGAAAAGACCTTTTCAAAAGAAAACTTCATCACAAAATGAAACAGGAACCCTTATTCTACTTGCTCAACACATACTGAAGCTTCCGAATAATGAGATTCTCCCCCCCCCCCC